CTTTTGCCGGTCTCGAGATGAAAAATCGGTACAGACGAACACACAGACAAACAGACACACACACAGGCAACCTCTTGTCAATATGCGTTTTCTGCATTGCATAGCTGCAAAAACGCATAAAAATTGATAGCTGCCTAGTTGAGAAAACGCGCTATGAGTTTCAACTGGCCAAATCGTCACTTCCCGAAAAGATTCGAAAGATAATCAAGAAAAAATCAAAAAAAAAAAGGATCACACTCATTAGCTGTTTCGGCACTGGTAGAATTACAAATTTCCCAGGCAGAGGTTTTTCCTTCCATAAAACTGCTCTTTTGCAGTGTCTTGGCTCGTTTTAGTCTGCAAATCAAAAGTCACTTGATGGATGTTGACATTAATGACCTGATTTTGCGATTATTGAGCGTCGGTAATCCGGAAAAAGGCATGACAAAAACGGTCAAACTAAACGAACTCATGACACTTTGCCGTAAGTTATACACGGTGTTTTTCTGCGCTTTCTGAATACACAAACAACAGAATGCTTGGTAAAAGTTTCATTTAATTAGGACATCTATAATTTCAAGAAACTGAACGAAAAATCGAGTGTTTTGAACGAAACAAATACCAGATCCACATAAAGGATGAAGGAAGATTGCCACGAGGATGGTGGTCGTTAATACCACGCCTCATCCTAGAAAGTCTAGAAATTTTAGATATATAAACAATGAATATGAGATTGGAAGAGATTGGAGATTGGAAGAGCACGAGGTTCTGAAATCATGTTAACGTATGCAGTTTGTTTGGGGTTTCTCATCATTCAGAAAATTGGAAAGAGTGTCTCTTCTGATTCAGAATTTACAACTTTCTGGTCCCTTTCCGGGAACTCGATAGTTCCTTTCCGGAGAAAAAGAAGGCTGCCTTAGTGTACCTATATGTCATATTAGTCCTCAAGACGGCCTTCAATAAGTCAGTCTTGAAGATTCCATGAGGATAAAGCTAATGATGGTCACTGCTCCAGTTCTTCTAACAGAAATTTTGACTGTAGTCAAAACACGGGAAATCTTCAAAGCGCAGTCGCCGTTGATCGAAATCGATCCACCAGTTCGTATATGCGGTGACACACACGGACAGTATGGCGATCTGTTACGACTGTTTGATCGTGGTGGCTTTCCACCAACAGCTAACTATTTGTTTCTCGGTGATTACGTGGATCGAGGTCATCAAAATCTTGAGACGATCACATTACTCTTTTGTTATAAGGTTGCTTACATTTTGCACATTCGCATAAAAGATCATTCGCTACAAAAAGATATATGTAAAAATTAAAAGCTAACTTACAAGTTGGGTTCAAACGGAATTGATATACACTATTTGAAAAACAGGTATTAGCCAATAGAAAGTTATATATATTAGGAACTGAAACCTATCCTTTAAAGCGAAGAAAAGGAAATTTCTCTACATAATTTTCCCAGCCCTCCCTTTACAATTTCTTCTCTGCTTTTTTATCTCATTCGTCTCTATTTTTTATTTTTTGTCGAATAATTTATGTCACAGTCGTTTACTGATGTGATACAATCTAAACGAACCAACAAGTTTTAGAAATACCACGTTTTCCCCACTGACAGGTTCAGACCAAGGTTGGAAGATATTTGTAATTACTAATACATCAAGTCTGCCCAAAAAATAAGGTAGAGGTTTTTGAATTTTTCAGATTTCTGTGGGAACTTTTTGCATTAAGCTCTAGGACGGAATTTTTTGATTTATTTTGCACAGGAATTTACCTGGACCACTTTGTTGAGCATTAAATTGAGAATTTTGCATTCAGGTGAAATACCCAAATAATTTTTTCATGCTTCGTGGAAACCACGAATGTGCCACTGTTAATAGAGTATATGGCTTTTACGAAGAGTGCTTTCGGCGTTACGCGTCCCCTCAG